TGTCATTTAGGAGAGGACAGGGCCTTGTGTCTGGTGGAGATCAAGAAGGTGAAACAGTCGTTGTCACAGTCCCATCTCCCGGCTCAGCCTGACCTCAATCCCTTCATCTTTGAGACAGTCAAAGGATGCCACCTCTTCTCCTCTGGAAAGGTGGGTTAGCTTGTCACCACTTCTACAGAGCAAAATCCCTCTAGTTAGACCGTCATTTAGTCAGTTAATGAGCTTAACATCACACTACTAGCATAGCCGTGTGCTGTCTGATTGCAGATATTTACTGCTGTCCTGTTTGCGGTGCTGCTCTTTCTTTACAGATTGATAATGGGACCTGTATCTGTGCTGCTATGCCTAATAAGATTACAATTCTGCGACATAATGAAAGCCTGAACAAGTTCTGCATCAGAAAGGTGAGTGGGCCTTAAAGATGGATAGATGAATGATAATATCAGGAAGGAGAAGCAGTGTTTTGTAGTAAAAGTATACGCTCCATTTACCTTTAAGTAGTAATGAGTTTGGAAAAAGTGCTGAATTCTTGTTTGTATTTGCAGGAGATTGAGACATCCGAGCCCTGCAGCTGTATCCACTTCACTGGCTACAGTATCATTATTGGCACCAACAAGTTCTATGAGATTGAGATGAAGCAGTATGTGCTGGAAGGTAGGTCACACACCATTTTGATTTATTCATACAAAATCCTGTATTGATAGAACATTTTGAAACAATGTTTTTTGTCATCCAGACGATGTTCAAAGCAAGTCTACACAATTGTGTTTCTATTGCTGTGAGGTTTCAACATTTACACCTGAACAAGCTGAATGACACTGATATGATTTCTTTCTACAGAGTTCCTGGATAAAAACGATGTGACGTTAGCTTCAGCTGTATTCGCCGCATCGTCCCACAGCTTCCCCATTTCCATCATCCAGGTCACCACGGCTCCACAGAAAGATGAATACCTACTCTGTTTCCACGGTTAGACTTTGATTTTTTTGTCTGTATGTATATAGTATGTGGTGTGTGCAGTGTCAACACATATGCGAGTAAAGGAGCCAAAAATGTAACTGTTTGAATTAATTTTAATAGGAGATTAATATTCCCTTTTTGTATTCTACGTCACATTTCTGACAGATTCACGGTGTTTATCATAGAATATCACTGTTAACTTCTATAAACAGGCCATTTTGTCTGATTCCTGGAATTTTTCTTGCAGAGTTCGGTGTGTTTGTAGATGCATACGGCCGCAGGAGTAGAAGTGATGATATCAAATGGAGCCGTCTGCCTCTCTCATTTGGTTAGTATGTTTTTCTTTCTTTAATGGTCAATATGTGATTTCCGATATGATGTTAAGTGAATTTCTGGTATTTCAGCGTATAGAGAACCCTACCTGTTTGTGACCTACTTCAACTCTCTGGATGTTATTGAAATTCTGGGACATGCTGCTTTGGGGTAAGACTGCCTTCTGCTCCTTTATCAGTACCAGTGCATCAGTTAGGGTTTCCAGTAAGCATCATCATCCTTTTTTATGTATCTTTTAATTAGTATCACTGCACATTCTCGTGATTTAATTAATTCCCATTACTGCCAATGCTCCGTAAATGTCTCAAAGATACAGTGTCTAATGTTCTTATTTCTTTCCAGGCCCCACTCATATGCACACCTGGATATCCCAAACCCACGCTACCTTGGCCCAGCCATCTCTTCTGGGGCCATCTACCTGGCCTCTTCCTACCAGAACAAACTGCGGGTCATTTGCTGCAAGGGCAACCTGGTCCAGAGTCAAGAGGGAGTAGGAGACCTGCAGCGGAACGGCTCTGGACGCAGGTGAGCACACACACTGTTTGTTAAACCTGCTACAGGTCACGCTTCGGTCTGTTCTTTCCCATTCCCTTCATTAACTCCTTTACACAATTACACATATGTAATGTCCAAAATAATGTCTGTTCACAACGAGCTGTCAACTGTCCCTTTATTGTCTTTACAGTCACCACACATTTGGAGCTGTAACACATTTCGTATTTTAGTAAATACATTTTTTATTTCTAAAGTAAAAAAATAAATGATAATATACATTTGCACCAGAATGTACAAATAATACATAACTCTGTATTTAATTGGCCAATCTTGAATTTGGGACGTCCCATATTGGTTTGATTGACAGCTGCATTATTTACATATCGTAAATTAATTAATTAATAAATGTGTGTACTGAAGGGTCCTACTCAGTGTAAGAAACTAATAGAAAGATGTGCATTTTATTTGTTTGATTAATAATTTCTCAGTCTACTTGAATATTTTATTCTTGTTTTGTTTTTTCGGAGGTTTGGGCTTCACTATTATGCAGAGACTGTAGAGTTATCCCGTGTACACTGGTGTTGTTGAAGGGTCAATGGGAATATTTGGCACTGCTGGGCACAGGTTGGCATCCACAGGTGGTGATGGTTACATTTTGGCCTTCATGTGATCTGGTTATAAAACAAGAGTAACACCTTTATTTTGCTCTTTACAGGAGGAAGAGTTCATTTTTTATCTGTAACAAATCCTGAGAGATGTCTCTCAGTCAAAATTACTTTTTAAAAAAAAAACCTCCTATCAAATGTAGAAAGGAAATTGTTGAATAAAGTCTTTGCTTTTATTTCCTGAGGCTGGTCTATTACAATTTGAAGCTCTCTCACAACTGACCCTTTATTTCTCACTGTGCTGATTTTGAAAAGTGTCTTTGAGAGCCAGTCAAAGCTTTTCTCTGTGGTTGTTGTCATCAGCCACTGACTCATTCTCTTTTTAGAAAACTAAATCGAGTAGATGGTTTCAGTCTCCTCTAATTACGAATAGCAATACGCTACATCTTATCAAATGAGCGGGGTTGCGAGTCCATCATCCTCACCACACCTGTTGACCTGGCGGTGCCAAGAAAGCCCGTGACCCAAGGCACAAAGCTTTTGCTCCCTGCCCGTCTTTATGCCTCGGTTCCTCCCCAACAGCCCTAACAAGCGTGGACCTCCTTCCTACAATGAGCACATCTCTAAAAGGCTGGCAGCCAATCCCCTAGTTCACGGAGATCCCGGCACACCTCACCGCTACCGAGAGGCTCGCACAGAGTTTCGACGGGATAAGTCCCCCAGTCGTCCACTGGAGAGGGAGAAGTCTCCTGGCAGGATGCTGGAGAGCCGGATAGTGGCGTCTCCAGGCAGGGCCATGGCTGACCCTCGGTTAGAGCGCTCCCCGGGCCGGGCCATGGCAGACCCTCGGATGGACCGCTCTCCCGGTCGGATGATGGATGTCCGTAGGGAGAGGTCCCCCGGACGATTCGAAGAGCGGCAAAGGCTTCATACTGGCTCCGGTCGCACGCCCATAAACCCGGTTAACAAGGTCTGTGAATCATTCATGTTAGTTCCTGTATACAGTTGATGCACTACTCTTACTACTCAAGTACGATGGCGCTGGTGGGTCTAGGGATGGCAGTGTCAGTCGTTGGGTCCACCACTTCGGTCTAGACTGAAATATCCCTACAACTTATTGGTTGGATTGCCAGGAAATTCTGTCCAAACATTTGTGGTCCATAGAAGATAAATTCTAATGACTTCTCCTCTAGTGCTACCGGTGGGTTGACATTTTTAGTTTTTAGTTGGTACTTGATGGACTGTCATGAACTTTGCTGCATTTATGTATAGTGCCTAGAGGAGGAATCTGAAGGACTTTGGACCTTACTTTTCCCAGAGCAAGTGTTTACCTGACTTTGTTTTCATCCTACAGGTATGGGACCAATCCTCTGTTTGAGAGAAAGCAGAGCCACTTACCCAGCATGGACAGAGAGATTCATCTTTGGAAAGGGAAAGAAGGGAGCAGAGTGAACCAGTGAGAATGTCACCAACTCATGATGAAACACTGCCACACATCAGTTTTGCCTGACATCTAAGCTGACAAACCCACAGAGGAAAACAACTGTAGCCATCAGAACCGAGAGAGGACGAGAGAAATAAATAGATGTCATTAGAATCAGGTTATTTTTCTCAATGAACTGACCCGACTCAATAAAGGTCAACAAAATGCCATATTCAGCAACTTTTTGAGCAGGGTTTTTTGAGATATATTTCAGTATGTGCTCTGTACTCTGAGAAGGGATTAGTGATTCAATTTGATTTCTTCTTCCAAAACAATATATGGTTTATGAGTTCTCAGCTTCAGACCTGACTCGGTGGGTTTTGCTAGTTTCCGTTAACTCCAGACAGTAGTGACTACAATAGATAAGCACAGCCGTAGCAACTTTATCTTACAAGTCAATGCCTAAATATTTACAAATTTACAGTCACTAGTGAAAATGGCAGATAGCATTAATACAACTGGCTCCTCTCCACGCTCAGCTCCGTCCTCAGTAGCTATAGATCGGGGCAGGAGAGTGCATCTAACAGCATTTGTGGCTCCAGCACCCTGCGCTGACGTGTCTACACACAATCATTATCAGCTAATTACAATCATTCTCTGTTAACTTCAGTCCTCAGTCAGGACTGTGGTTATTTATGCTGACGGGACATGGCTGGAGCACAAACAAATTTAAATGAAATTTAAATAAATGAAACCTCCCTGCCCTGTAGAACCACACACCAGATGATTGTCCGCCCTTAGATAGGTTGACACTAAAACTGCACTACCCACAATCCTCAGCAGGAGTTTCTAATCCTTCAGAACGCTATCTGACTGTAAATAGACAAGACATAATTTTATATATATTGAGAAGGAATTTCAAGGCTGGATAAGCCATGTCTATTTTTGTTAAAGAAAAAAGTGATTACGTGTCCTCTTGAATGTCCAATGAGTATTCTTTTAATATGTCCAAACATCCTTTATCAAGTGAGTGATTGTATCTGGATCCAACTTGTGTATGCACTTCCATCTGTCAAAGGCAAAACCTCAGTGCTGAAGTATACGATAGGGGGGGGGGTAAAAAAAATCATGTTTGAAGCTTACAACATAGTACTTGAGCATTTCTTTTTGTACAACGTCCCATATATTGTATATAACCCAAAATTGTTCAAGGTGAAGATGAAAATAATCTTTGTTTTTTTCTTGATTCGTAAATGGCATGGATATGTATATCTGAAATGAAACGGAGTGTTGTCTTCTGCTTCTGCCTCATTTGGGTTATATTTTTATTATTCCACAATTTAACAATGAAGCACGTGAATAACATCTCCTTTCTTTTATCTATTACCTATTTGCACAGTAGACCCATACGATTCTAAATCTCTTCTGTTTCTTTTATTAGGACACTCTTGGCAAGTTAAACAGCCAGTCCAACCATGAAACACACTCAACCTGCCAAATACTTTGGCTCTCATTGTCCAGGTGCTTGCACTTGACTAAGCTGATTTTATTTCTATACATCATCACTTGATCTATGGAAATGGAGTATTCTTGCGTTTTTTAATAATGTTTTTAGGATGTATACCGATGAGATGCCACACTTTAACTTGCCCAGTGTGTCTGTTAACAGTAGGGGGCTCAAAAGGAAGAGGTTTCTTCAACTTTCTGAATCCGCTTTGGTTCTTTATAGATGTAAAAATCTTCCTGAATGTATTTAAGCCAAGAAGAAAGAACTGATTCATTGGTCACAAATGTTCAACAAAAAGCACCCAATGCTGCAGATTGCACACATTTTCCACTGGTCTCTACAGAACTCTATACAACAAGGGTTTCATTTTATTTTTCTATTCTTTTTTTTATTTGTATTTCCTTTCACATGATCCTGAATCATAATGCCGTACCGCTGGATATGATATTGATGTCTGCTAACAAATGTTTTATTAGCGTTCCCTGTAGAGATTTTGTCACAGAATATTAAATATTATAACCATTGTCTTTCACTTCTGCTTTACCTCCTTATGTTGTGCTTGTGTGCCTACGAGCAAGCAATATCTGCTTTCCACTTGCCACTCACACTTTAGGCTGCCTGAAAAATGACCATTTGTCCATGTCCATAGTGTTAAGAAGAGGTTAGTCTATTTATAGGTGTCTGATCCCAGCGCTCAGCCAATGCGACAATGGCCTGCCATTCCAGTCACGGTAGCTGCAGCGGCTGCTCGGATCAGAAACTGAGAAGAGCTGAAGGAGAAAAGTTTTCAACAATAGCATCTGCTCTGTCGGTTAACAATAACTCTTCTAATTCTGACCACCGTGTATGCACTACGCTGCGAGACAACACCGCTGACATCTGCTGTTCGCTCATCAACAGCATTTTATGTGACAGTGAGTGGACTGAGTGCGGCGAGGCTTTCAGCGCCTCTTCTTTATATAGTGGCCTCACCTCCTCACCCGGCCCATTCAGCTTTCATTTTCACAGACTGTCACTTTTCTTGACCTGGGAAGCCACAAGTGATACTGGATGAGCTGTTAATGGTGTACAGAGACATAGCACATTGCAAGGACGTGTGCAGCCAGTACTTGAGTATGTCGCACCTACTGCTGTCGACAACACTGAGCTTAGTTTCACAAGCTCTGTAAAGCCTACACCAATGCAGTGTTCAAAGTAAATCCTCCTTGGGGCTTGGCTTCTTAATGAATTTTAAGAATCAGTGTTTTCCCCATGTCAACCTATTTTGCGGGCCGAATGAACAACTTGCCGTGGTTGCTTTCTCACCATCTACAGGCTCCAGTAGAGAAGAAGCCAACCTAGGTGAGAACGTTTCCTGTAAAGACATTTAATTGGCGTGATTGTCAGCAAGTGCATTTATCTTTAAAGAATAACTGGGGTCTCATAAATACTGCACTATGACAATGTCGGGGAAAAGTAAGCTGGCGCCAGTCATGTGAACAAGCACGTGAGAAATGTGACTAAGGTTGGCGGTAAAGCGGTCCTGACAGGTCAATAAATTGCACTTAATGAGCTGGTGATTTTCACGCTCTCTCATCATGTCTTGTATCCAGCGAGGACAAGAAATGATTGATACACAGATTAGAATATCAAATGAAACGGTGACAAATGATTTTGTTGGTGAAAGTAGGTAAAATCACTGAAAATCCCAGTCTTTGGAGATATCTTAT